TAAAAGGGATGTTTCAACTTCTCGCATATGATTTAATTGTCATTGTGGTTTAAATTTGCGAGGATCAAAGAATAGGTATTTTACTCTTTTCTGAGGGTTGTGAGCCATTTGATTTGTTTCTTAGAATTTATAATCAAAGTTATTCATCTGTACTGTATTGTATTTATACCATATATTTATATATTATTCAGATTTTTCATACTTAAAAAAAAAATCGCTTTTATTCATTATTGTTTTTTTATGAAACCTTAAAATTAAAAATATGAGTATTTAAAACAGTAAATTTTGTAAAAAAAAATGAACATGACTTTCACTTAGCGTTGATTTACTCAAATCGGATTGTTATATTTTTACTTAATTTACTGATGGTCTATTTGTTATGGGAAAGAAAGAAGTTTAAATATATAACTGGAGACACTCTAGGCTCTACATTCTTTGCTTAAAAAAAACTCACCATTGTTATTTTTCAACATTTTTTAATTAAACATTTTATAAATATGAAAAATTGTTCCTATTTTAGAAAAAATTATAATATTCATTCATATATTCAGTATTAAGAGTCTACTTATTTTGCACTTAATATAAAATAATTTTCTTCTGTTCAAAAATTTCATGGTAAACTCTTATCATCTTTCTCAAACAGTATGTTATAATAAGTAGTATTATTGGGAGTTTTTATAAAAATTATCGACGGCATAATAACGATGTTAACTAACATTAAATAAATACACTTATAAATGGACTTTGGGAGATCATACAGAGTATTAACAACTAAGTTAATTCTGTCAGATGATAAAGTATATATCATAGTTAATGAACTCAATGGTGTATATTAAAATTAAGCTCTCTTCTTCTAAAAATGTATATCTAATGTCTTTAGTGAATATATTGATCAGTATAACATCTAACTTTTAAAACTCACGAGATTATGATAAATAATCGATGAGAGTGGTAAATTTAGATCATTAAAGACATAAATGACGAAGATTTTTAGGTTGGAATTACATTTATTGTAGAGAAAATATTTTAAAAAGTGGGTGAAAAGTAGACCACCAAATACGTCCCTACGTTCCTAATAGTTACATAAGCACGAAACATTATTGTAAACAATTCGCCGGTTAAACAACCTTTATGCCAGTCATTAATGTTAAAATATTTTTATAAAATTATTACTTACTTGAATTTACTATTTTTTTATTGTACTTATATGAATTTTTTGTTATACATTACCTCTTGTTGACGATATCAACAAAAATAAAGTCATACTAGCAATTCAATCTGGTTTTGTAATCTAAGTTTAAAGTGCAATGATAATTCAAAATAAATAAACAATAATAGTATTGATTCAATACTATTGAAGCAATATAAATTTTAACAATTGAATATATTGAAAATTTATATAATGTAATACATACAAAATTAAATTATCATTTTATTAACTGAACTTATTTATACCTTAACTATTATTATATTTTAACTATGATTATTTTAAGCCTTAATTCATCAACTATAATGTATGTTGTTCACATAATTATAAATTATACAAATTTAAATTGAATCATAGATAAATATTGATTCCGAAATTTTTATTTTATAAATTGCATTTACAACAAATTGATAGTTCTATAATATTGTTAAACGAAATAATATGTGAACTTAACGAATATTTCAAACAAAAAATATTAACAAAATGTTTTTATTTGTTTCGCTAAAAATTAAATTGTTACATATTTTTATTTTTTACTTAAATTTCTAACTGATAAAACAAACGCTGACTAAATATGTTTGACTTTGATTATATAATAGTTTTAAATTTATCAACTAAAAAGCATTTCCTTACTTCTAACTAAGGAAATTTCGTAATAGTTATATAATGTACTTACTAAATAGTTTTATAATAGCTCTTATGTATAATGATAACATATTTATTAATCAATAAAATTAATGCTGCTATAGATTCCAATTCTAGAATTTAAAATTTAGTCTGTAACTTTAAATAATAAGAGTTGGACAAGAAGTCAAAATCTGGTTCCAATGTGATATTTTTATTGCTTTTTACTGACGACACAGGATTGTGATGAGCACATACTCAGATTAAAACATTAATAATTTGTAAATAGTTATTAACTAACAATTAAGTTAAGATTATTTTTAGTTAATTATTTCCATTTAATAGAATCAGCTTATTTTTCATATAGGCCATTTCATACGAGAGTATTGTAATGAAAATGAAAATGCACAATAATAAAAAATTAATTTTTAATTTTTGAAAGCAAATTTTTTTGGAGCCTTATTTATAACTTGCTCTCCGATTTTTTAAAATATAAATCCTGCGTCAGATATATTTTAATTGTATATAATTGTTATTAATTATTTTGAAAAAGTGTACTTCATGAAAATATTTTTTAATTTTAAAGTAATGAGCTACATTACGCTTCATACAATTTTATAAGTCGAAAACAAATGATTTGTTTTATCCATCTATATTATAATTTTCATGTTCAACCTTGTAATTATGATAGATTCATGACTGTTAAAATTATTTTGTTTTTATTCTAAAATAACTATTTATAAAAAATACGAAGTCCGGCAGTTAGTTATTACATGCGATTAAATTATATTTATGTATAAGTAAAATTAATCTTTTTGTTGGATTCTTTTATGCTATAAAATTTCGTTGAAATATTGCAAATTAAATATAAAACGTTAATTCTCCACCAAAAATTAGTGATAAAATATCTTCTTTCTGACTATTGATTCATCTTTTATCTCATCATACTTTTTTATATTTATAAATCTTTTATAAGGAAAAAAAATAATTAGCTATTAATTATCTGGAACAATTATATCAATTTGTTTTATGTAACTTTTTATTTAATAGAACAAAAGTTGAATAAGGTATTCTAATTTTATGTAAGGTTGAGCTTTTGGACAAAAGTAAAATTTGAGTATAGTTAAGTTTGCAAAGGTAAGCATTCTTGTCACAAGAACTGAGAGATTGAAAAATGCCTTTGTACGAACGTCTGAGATGAGGAAGTTCTACTTTAACGTCATTCATGACTAGCTATGAAAAAGAGCTCTTTTGTTGCTTTTCAGAAACTGAAGGGTTGTAACTGATTTTGTTTAAAATCATGTAATTAATGTTCTACTAACAGTCCATCCAGTGACTTGTTCCGCGATGCAATTTATTATATCAATTTATTGAAACGGTAATTTAAATTTTAAAAAATTGTTAAATTTTTAAATTATTGTAAAAAATTCCTTAATTAAAAACAATATGGAAAATATATACAAATATATAGTGATGATTTAGATGATAAAAAATATTTAAATCTCTTACATACATTTTACTTTGTATAATGGCGCCTATTGGATAAAATCTAGTAGGAACACAGACGTTGATTTAGAGGGTAGTAAGGGCGTTACTCCTATTGGCTTTACATAAATTATTAAATCACCCATTCCACCAACGCAAACTGTCAAATATTTTTGATGCAACCAAATAGTTTATTTTCAGTATAATCTATTAAATATTTAAAGACTATTGAATAATTTTATTAATTAAATAGTTATTGAATAACTATCGAATAGTTTGACAGTTACTATTTGATATTTCCATAGGCTTGTAAGATTTTTAACTGGGTACTATGTCATAATTTTGGATAATAAACGTGATAATTAGCTTCTTTATCACATTCCTTTAACATCCCCTTTCCCAATATATTCAATTTATTTATGAGGGCTACGAATGTTTTTATGGGAACTGAAGCCTTTACAGCTCCAATGCAAACTACGATAATGAATATTTTCCAGCACTAATTATAAGTACCTCTTATTGATAGGGAATAAAGAGAATATATTGCATGTAATTAATTTTTATATAAATTTTATCAGTTAGTGGAAAATCTATGATCATATGAATTCTGACATAATCATTCAACAAAGTATCAAAAATGACTACATAGCCCATACGGGTTTATAAGAAATTAGCAACATAGTGTTTAAAAAACTATGCGTTTTACTTTTATTAATAAAAATTTTATAATTATTAAAATGAAAAAATATATTTTTTAATATTTATAATTTAAACTGAAATATTTGTCGTATATGTAAGAAGGGTGAATGGATAGATTAATTTCTACTATTCTGTATGAATACCGTTACAAAGTATAAATTTTAAATATGCACCAACGTAAACAAAAAATGTATTTAAAATAATATCATAATCAATTAATTTTCCAGAAAAAGTTTTACTTAAGTGAAGAGATTATAATTTTATATGGTATAATTTTCATACATTTTCTACTTTATTTAATTTATTTCAGATACAGTCTCGCATGATGAGCATAAGAACAATTGCTTAAATGGCATGATTAAAATTGGATCAATCATACTTTATTAATGGGATACCTTAAAAAATAAAGAGGTGTTACATTCGTGGTATTAGCTCAACAAATTAATTTTTATATCATATGTTCGTTTTGGAGATATATTTTTGATAAATATTAATTGTTTTTTCCGGATTTCAGTCTGAGTCCACCCTTTAATAGATTTGATTTAATATAATGTCATAAATTTTTACTATGAACAAATTTTAATTATAAACTCTAGATAAACTTTATAATTATTTAATATGTTATCTCATATTGCTTGATATGTGTTGGCTATCTAAAAATTATCTGACCATATAATAGGTTGGAATTTTTGTTATTTCATGGAAGAGATACAACTTTATTTTCATTTATTACTGAAGTAGGCCACCAACAAACAATAATAAATAAAAGTTAATAAATTTGAATATGTATTCAAGCTATAATGATAGTCATAACATGACTACCTCGTTTTACCAATAGCGATGTTATGCTATGAATCTAATATCGGTAGGCAGCAGACCGGTAGCAGTTAATGATGGTAACAACAGTAGCAGCACTGTAGTGCAAATTACAGATTAGCCCCTGTCCACTCTGCGTCTACCAATCAACATGCCGATAACATTAAATGAGGTAGTGGTATGTTGATGCACCTTATCTGTTTTGTATTTCAATCTTTATATTTTGCGAAGCGTACCAATATTATTATCAATGAAAACATGTTGCAAAATCCTATTACAACTTGAGCCAACGTTCGCCGAAAAAAGAAAATACTGCAACTATTATTTTAAATTAGTCAATTGATAAAATTATGTTTAAATGTAATTTTTAATTTTGAATAGTCGTTAGTTCTAAAGGTGCGAGCTGTCATCGAATAATTCCTTGATTGGTTTACGCGTTTTTATTTATATTTTAATATGTGTCGTTTCAAATTTTTAGTGCCATTTTAATTTAAGAATAAAAAATGAAAACGATACTTTTGTTGAGTTTTTATATTTTGGGTGCGATCACCTTATCTAGTGTTGTGTCATTATCCATTTACAATGATGATGCTTTATCGGTTTTTCAAAGCAACTTAAATTTTGATGATGATATTTTCACAATAAATGAACATCGTATACCAAATTCTCCTAGTAGAATCAAACGTAGCAGTTCCATACCGTTAAAGTTGTCTGAGAATAATATAACATCTAAAGTAAGTGCATAATATTTTTAATTACTACTCTGTTAAAAATTGTGTGTGAATTGATTGTAATATTTCAACATTAAGTAAATTTTAGATAAAGTTTGTTATGTTGGTGAAGCTAATCAACTATTATGTTTAAGTAAAAGATTTTCTGTAAAAAAATCAAATTTTTTCTATATGATTGTATATTTTTTAAAAGGATATAGTATTTATTCTAAAAACAATTATTACATTTTTATACTTATGAATGGTTGAATAAAAATCTTTGTATGTATAAAATGCTCAGTAATTCAATATATTTCATTACATACATTCATAAATAATTTTTATGAATAATGATAAAGTTGTGATTTTTTAATATTCTGTATTACTTAACATTACTATAGAGTATTAATAATTGTATTAAATACATAGTTTAATTTTATTTTTTAGATATAAAGTTTGGTAGTAGATTTATTTATACAGTGTAGTTAATTTATATTGTTTCAGTTAATTATTTTATATCTTTGCCTTTTTTTTTTAAACTGTTAGGAATTGATGTAACTACTTTTCAATTTTAATTTAAATGATTCTTGGAAGTTAATAATGATCAAAATTATAAATAAATAGAATTTATAACTTTTCAGTGTTTATTTTATCAAGGTAAAAAATTTGATTGTTATAAAAAGTAATAAAATATTTTAATGATAAAAGTTTAATAAGATTAGTGTTCTGTTTTAATACGTGTTATTTTTAGGTAACATATTTAAATGAGAGTCGACAACAGTTGATGGTGCACTGGGTTGGTGAAAATTCCAATGTAATAATATGTCTAGCTCGCGAAGGTGGTGGTCTTTCCTCTGCTGTGTATATTTCTTATGACTATGGTGACACATATCAAAATAAAACAGAAAATTTTAAAGTTGACACTACTCAAAATTTATATGCTTCAATTGACAAGTTTTACATACATCCTACATTTAAATCTTATGTAAGTTTACTTTATTATCATAAATTCACGTTGAGGGGTTTGAATGAGCTTATCCTCTCCAAAATTTCAGAAAAATTACATATATGATTATATAAATGAAAATGTATGTATAATTTACTTATAATGGTTGTTAAAAAAAAAAAATTTCAGTGTGTTTATACAGATGTTGTTAACCATAAAATTTTCACTACAATTGATCATAGTGTTACTATCAAATCAATACAATTATCTTTTGTGCCAAGTGAAATAGCTTACAGACCTGATATACCATTTGTATTTGTTGTTCATGACAAAGTCAGTCCAACTAAACAAGTATGATATACATTGTTAAATAATTAATAGTGAACATTAATTCTTAATTCTTATAGTTAAATTATTTATTTATATATTTGTGGAAATTATTATTTTGATTTACTTATATTGAGTTTAAATATAATCTTTCAAAGATTAAGTGATGTCACTTAAATAAAAATATTATACTAGTATTTATATAAAAAATATTTTTAAATTCATTATTACATATTTAGTTTAAAAATTGTAAAGCATAGAAGTATATTTATTTTATTATTATTTATAAAAAATTTACCTTCATTATACTATAATGTTATCTAATAGTATTATTCATTATTTATGTGGGATGTTTTTGAAGTATTCATATCTATATTTATCATTTCCTGTTCACAAAATTAAATTGATTGTACAGGAAACTTGTTAGGGTTTTTAACAGGATGTTATAAATCTCTAGGTTACTATTCATAAGATATTGAATTTGACTGTTTAGTAATATGCTATAAATATTCAACATAGAATTTCTCAAATATGTTTTATAGCTTTTGAGCATATATTATTACAATTGAATTAATATTCTAGTTAATATTATCATAGCTTTTTTATTTATTTTTTACTTATATTTCTTTATGTTTGTATTTTTATTTATCAAATAAATACTTTTATTATCAAAATTAATTTTATTTTGTAATACAAATTGTGTATTTTTTAATATATATTAATTTTAAATATTTAAATAGCTGTTAATATAGTTTTATTTGTAGTTGTTTTAATAAAGATTTTTCAATTTTAGCTATGGATAACGCATGATTTTGGAAAAACTTGGTCTGTGCTTGAAGAACATGTTAAAGCATATTTTTGGATTCCAGTTACATGGAGTTTGTACAGACAAGGTTACTCCTTTATCATTCAGCGCGAGGAATCCCTTACTACATCTAATGTTATTGCCGTATCTGAAAATGTTAATTTTGGACAGAATAACTTAACTACCTTAGCTGTTAATGTTCTTCAGTTAAAAGTTAAAGATGACTTTATGTTTATGACTACTCAACTATCAAAGGTATTCTTTTTTTCAATTAATTTTAATTTATATGATGAAAGATTTTTAAAAAGAACAATTTTAATGTATTTTATGCATAGATATATACTTACTTAATTTTATTAAATCTGGTGTAAAAGAATTTGTATCTTAATCAATTTACAGGAATAATACTGAAATTCTTTATATTTTGTTTAAATAATATTATTAATTTTATTGTAACAAATAGCTTGCATATATACAAAATACTTTTAAATTTGTTTATTAAAAGAATATCTATTTTATTATTTATTTTCAGAATAATTTAGATTTGCTTATCAGTTATAAAGGAGGAAATCTTATTCGAGCTCGCTTTGACACTGAACTTGATAAACAGGATTATTTAGTTACTGATATTACTTCTAATAGAATTATGGTGGCTGTTGCTCATACCCGTACATTATCTAATCTATATGTATCTGATGTTTTTCAATCGGACAAAGACACCATAACATTTAGTTTATCTCTTGAAAGAGTGGTTGCATATTTTCCCAATGTGACATGGACAGAATCATTGATAAGGTGATTAAATATAATAAAAAAATTTTCAATATTTTTAAAATAGCTTGTAATAGTGTACAGAGTGATTCATTAAGGATAAAACACTTAGAAATTATTGAAAATGTTTAAGTTTTATAAAGTAAAATGTTGTTTGATTTATAAAATTAAAATAATATGCAATTAATTTGTTTTTAAACTAAAAATTGGAATTCCTATTAAAATAAAATAGAAATTATGTAGGTTTTTTTATTCCCAAATGGATTGAAAAAAAATTTTATTAACAACATGTTATTGTAGAGTTTTTTGAATCAAACAAAAGTGTATCTTTTAAAAGAAAATTTTAAGTATAATTTGAAAAATAACAATGATTAAGTGTATATTTATTTATTTAAAAAATATTTTATAGTGACTTATGGGCGGAACCATTTGCTGATGTTCATAAAGTTAAAGGACTTCAAGGAATTTATATTGTTTCCCAGATTTTATCTGGAATGCCAATGGGTAGTGTAGATATTGCACCAGAACATCTTGTAACATTAATCACATTTGATTGGGGTATTGAATGGAAGCCACTAAATGTGACACGCTCATTTTCTCACTGTGAAAAAGTAGCAATTGGTTAAAACCTAACTTTTTTGAATACTTAATTTATTTTTGTTTGTAGGCAGAGAATTGTTCATTACATTTAAGCCAAATGTTTGCTCATGTATATCCTGTTACTAGAACACACACATTTATTTTATCTTCTGTGTCTGCTCCTGGTATTATAATGGCAACTGGTGTAGTTGGAAAATCATTAAAAGGCAATCCTGGTGTTTTTCTAAGTAGAGACGCTGGTCTTACATGGAAACAGGTTTTAAAAGAAATGCATTTTTATAATATGGGTGATCATGGAGGTGCTTTGATTGCTGTACGTTACTATAAATCTGAAAAAGAAGAAACAAGCCAAATTATTTACTCAATAGATGAAGGAGAAACATGGCTTGAAAAAAACTTTACTAATACTAAAATTAAAGTATATGAACTAATGACTGAACCTGGTGAAAACACAACTGTTTTTACTATGTTTGGTTCAGTAATGGAAAAACATGAATGGTTGATAGTTAAAATTGATTTAAGAAATGCTTTTTGTAAGTAATTTATTGAAAATAGAATTATAAATTAATAAAATTAAATGAACATTAAAAATATTATAAAATTTATAATATTTTTTATTTATAATATATTTATTCTATTTTATTGTATTAATATAAAAAATTATTTTACTGCTAAATAGTTACACATCTTGGGGCAAACCAACCTCAGTGGTTATGTTGGTGTTTTTCTATTATGCTTCTCTACATCTATTTATTGATTAGTTGAATTCTGTTTCAATTTTTACTTTCTATTTTAACTAAATTAATGTTACAACTTTCTTTATAATGTTATCTTATTTTCATGGTATATTAATTTTTTTACAGCCCATAACTGTACAAAAGATGATTACAAACTCTGGTCACCTAGTTCTACCAAAAGCAATTTAAAAACATCATGTGTTCTTGGTCAGACACAAGTATTTCAAAGAAGAGCTCCAAAAGCAAATTGTTATAATGGACTAAATTATGCTCGGCCAATACAAACAACAGTATGTGATTGTGATGTTGACGATTTTACATGGTATGTTTTATTATAATTAAATATTCTTTTTTCATTCATAAATTTTATAATTAAACGTCTTGAAAAATTTTATAAGTACGAATTAAAAAAAAAAAAAATTTATACTTTCATAGTCTACAGTCTCTCTTAAAAAGTAGTTTTCCTACTCATGAATACTCCAAGATAGGTGGTTAGTCTATTGTTTGTAAGTGGAAATTACAATTACTGATCTTTTGCTCAACAAACACAGCAACTTGTGATTGAGTATCAAACTCATTCTGTGCATATTGAGCACTGTCACGTCATTGACTCAGCCATACTATTTCTTTTGAATTTTTAAAATAGAAATCATAATACTGGTATTACTGGACTAAGATTAAAGTAAAATTCATTTATCTATATTAACTACTACAGCTGATAATTAAAATAATAAATGAATGATAATTTACTGTTAAACAAATGATAGTCAAATTTCAGTTTCAAATATTTTTTATAAAAAATAGCTTGATTTAGATAATTATAACTTTAGGTTAAAACTTTTCTTATAACACCTTAAACTTCAATACTATAACTTTTACTAGTAGTAAGTGGTGTATCATAATGCTTGATATTTTCAATTTCAAATCTAATTTCTAATATTTATTTTAAGATTAACTTGTATAAAATTAACCTTCAAGTACTGAGTGTTAGAATATATTTAAAATTTATATTTTTAAATGGATAATATTTTTTTGGCTATACACTTTAATTATTTTTTAATATATATAAAATATATTAAAAATATATTGTTGTTTATGATACTTAAATTATTAAACCTAAATATATAACTTAATATTTTGAAATTTCAACTTAATTAAATGATTAAAGTTTTCTATTATTTAAATTATAGTGATTACGGTTTCACATGGTTATCTAGTTCTAAACAATGTGTTCGAAATAAAACAAGTAGTATTGATCCTTATAAAATACCATCATTTTGCAAACCAGGACTAATGTATAATCGAACAAAAGGCTATCGATTAATACCTGGAGACTCTTGTAAACGTGGACGTTCTCTAGAATTTTTGCCTCAAGAAGTTCCTTGTCCTTTTGAGTAAGTATTTAACTTAATGTCTGTTTAACTTTTTATACAAACAGTTGATAATTATTAAATTCATTTTTGAGAGTCCTCAAGAGATTTTTTATATGGATTATATATTTTTAAAGTTATTTATTTTTATTTGTGTTAAAGAATATATTATAAATTTTCTTTAACTATAAATTAACTGTTTATTTATAGGGAAAAACAAGAATTTCTCTTGGTGGCACAAAAAGAACGTATCATTAGATTAGATTATGGTGAAAAACCATTTGAAGTATTACCTGTTCGTAAATTAGAAAATGTTATTGCTGTTGAATTTGATGTAAAAAATAATTGTGTCTTTTGGGCTGATATTGTAACAGATACCATTGGGGTAATAAGATACTAAATCAATTTTACTACCATTATAGTTTATTTTATAATTTTTTCTAAAATAATTTTTTAATTTTAATTCTTTAGCGACAATGTCTATCTGATGGTAAAGAAGGACCAGAAATTTTAGTAGATTCTGGTTTAAGTAGTGTTGAAGGTATGGCTTATGATTGGGTTTCAAAACATCTTTATTTTGTTGATGGTGCTTCATCGAAAATTGAGGTTATACGCACAAATACTAAAATACCTGGCCATATGCGTCGAACAGTTGTTGGTCCTACATATTTAAAAAAACCTAGAGGCATTGCTGTTCACCCTAGGGCAGGGTAATAGTTTAATTTTCTAATAAATGGTTAATTATTACTACTATGTAATTTTATTAATTCTAGTTATCTATTTTGGACTGATTGGGCTGTCGGGGAGGCAAAAGTTGCTAGGTCTAACTTAGATGGTTCAGATGTGAAAACTTTAGTTAGTAATGATTTAGTGGAATGGCCTAATGGCGTCACAGTAGATTACATTGCTGAAAGGATATATTGGGTTGATGCTCGTCATGATTACATAGCATCTAGTGATTTACACGGACATAATTTTAAAAAAATAATAAAAAATGATGTAAGTGTATATAGTATAGAATTAAAAATTGTAATTTTTTAATTATTCTATTAATTTAATAATAAAATGTGTTCTTGTTTTTTATTATAAATCAGAGAATTGATTTCAATTTTAAATATCAATGGAAATCAAAATTGTAAAATATGAAAATTGATTTGTAAAATTTTTATCAAAATAATATCGATATAGATTTTTAAAAATTTTACTTTGGTACCCATGAAACCCCCTTATTAATATGCTACTATTATGTCTATAATTTAAAATTTACTGTCATTATTATTATTCAATAGTTTATAATAATATTTAATCTTCAGTGTTATCATAATTTAATAAACCAGTTATTTTACAGAACATTTTTTAGGAAGATAAAATTAATTTCTTAAAAATGTTACATTTTATATTAATCTTTCATAAAAGAATGTCTATTATAATTTATAATACGTTTTTACATTATTTTATAAAAGTATGATTATGAGGGTAATTTTTTAATTTCAAATGACAACATACATATTTACATACCTAAATACCTAATTCATTTTTAATTAATCAATATGAAAAATTAGTTTGTGTTTTTATTTTGTGTGCACATATACGTTTGATAAGTACTTTCTGTATAAATTTAATTCTAAAACGTTATGTATAAAAAATAGTTAGTCTCATAATTGATTTCTTTAAAAAATAATAATTGTGAAATTGAAATAAAAGTTGCTATAATAAAATATTGATCAAAATCAAAATTTGAATATTAAAACTAAGCTCTGTTATAAATTTCAATTATGTGATTTCAGGAAAAAGTATCTCATCCATTTGCAGTAGCAGTTATAAAAGATTGGATATACTGGGATGATTGGAAACAAAACTCAATATTTATGTCAGATAAAGATCATGGTGTCAAAATACAAACTATTGCTTCTCATTTACCTGGATTAATGGATTTAAAAGTTATTAACTTTAACATTTAACTTAAATTCATACTTATTAAATTATTTAAGAATTGAGGAAATAACTAGGGAAGAAAGATTCACTAGTGTAATTAGTAATATTTCATTTTTTTTTATTTTAGGTGTTTTCTCACATGTCTCAAGTGGATACAAATGAATGTGCCAACAATAATATTTGCTCCCATTTTTGTTTTGGCTTACCGGATCAAAAATTTTCTTGTCAATGTCCAGACAATATGAACAAATCTGGCAATATATGTCTTTGTCCTGGTCTGAAAGAACCATTTGCAAATGGATCTTGTCCATCAGGTCTTAAAATTTTCAACATCATAATTTCATGCTTAATCAAACTTTGTGCTTTTATTCAGTTTTTATGTGTAAAACTATTATATTTTAATTATTATATTCATTTAGTTGGTCATACTTGTTCAGCTGATTACTTCCAATGTGCTAATAGTAATTGTGTTCCAAAATATTGGCAATGTGATGGTGATAATGATTGTGGCGATAATTCAGATGAAGTAGTATTAAATTAAATTAATTTATGTTTGAAGCCTTAAAGTGTCTGTAGAATTTTAGTTATTAATATTTTTATGAAAAAAAAAAAATAATAAATTTAAGATGTGGCATATTTAGAAATTTTACATCTTAGGTAAAGAAAAAAATTCTACCTCATATGAATTTATTAATTTCCCTGGGAATTTTATTTTCTATATTATTATGTCATAATATTAGAAAATATTTTGTATTGTTAATAGTGGTGATGAAATTTTTTTTGTAGCTTACTACAGTCATAGTAAAAATTATAAAATTATAGGTGAGCAAATTTATTTTATTACAACTTTTTTGTAAATTTACCAACGGTACTAAAAATTTAGTAGTTCTGCTACATATAATACACTATTCCCAGTTACTCTGTTGGATACCACTGACATATATTCTCCATATAAAAATTCACATGTAGCATTATAACAATATATTAAGGTCTTACATTCTTTTAATTACATAGAAAATTGAAAATTATTTATTTTTTTATAATAGATTTTTACATATATATTTTGATATATATTTTTAGAGATTTAAACAATTTTCTATCATCATGTGTGGTAATTATTATTTTAAATTCATTTTTCTGAAAATTTTAGTTTTTTTTTTATATTTGTTGTGCCATCAATTTACTTATATTGTTAAAAAAATTACAGTTAAGTAAAATATTTTCAGTTTTATTAATAAAATAAAAGTAAAATTATTTTTAATTTATAACATAAGTGTCATCATTTTGTAGTATATTAATTTAATTCAAGTACTAATTGAATGGAATATTAATAAAAATTATCTGTATGAGTATTAATTATAAAAATTAATAATTTTTTTTTATTTAATTATATGAGGGACAACATTGAAAATTGTTTAAATTCGTTAAATTTTTCTAGTAATGTTTATGTGTTATTACAAAATTAATTCTACAGATATTTTTGACACTTTTTGAAATAATTATTTTAAAATATTATAATGGTGTTCAATATATCAATATTTAATTTTCTGATATAATAGGAAAAATGTACTAAAGTATCATGTGGCCCAAGTTCTTTTCAATGTAATAATGGTAAATGCATTCCTTCTTATTGGACTTGTGATTTTGATCCAGATTGTGAAGATGGTTCAGATGAACTTGATTGTAGTAAGTCATATTATTATGATATAAAAAAAAATAACAAATTTATTGTATTTTTAATAATGAAAAAATTAATTTATAAATAACTATTTTATTTAAATAGATAATAAGAGTAATACATATAATTTATATACTTTTTCTAAAGTCAATTACTCATATCACATTTTATAAAAAATAGATTGGGTTACCCTCTTTCTAAAATTGTTATCATGCAACTCTACATTTTTGAAAGGATTTTAAGTATGTTGGAGAGGTCTAGTATGAAAGTCAAAGATGAAGATTTTTATTAGATTAGTTTATGAATTTTATTAGCAATAGTGAAAATGAACCAGATTATATTTAATACATAATATTTAAAAGGATATCAAAATTGATGTGATGAATGTGAACTTTTAACTAAAATTGGTGGTTTATATAGTTAAAAAATGCATTGTGCTTTGGTATGCAAATATTAAGTTTGAATCTAAACTATTAAGCTATATTAGTTTTCCTACCCTTTTTAGTACAAAAATTATGTTTTTTAGTTGAGAAGACATTAAACATAAAAACAATAACAAAATAAATATTTTATAACTTTATTTAAAATAAATAAAATTAAAGTTAGTATTATAATTTATTGTTATTTCCTACATTACCACCACTAATTCATGTATTTATTTTTTTTATGTTTATTCTTTTTACAATTATTAATTTTATTAGTAAAAATTACAACTATGCTATTAACTATTTCATAAGAAGTTGAATTTTGAAAGTTAATAAAGTTTATTTTTTAGAGTATTCTAACTGTTCAGATGGTCAGTTCCGCTGTAAAAATGGACGATGTATTACAATGCATTGGCGATGTGACTTAGAAGATGATTGCCATGATGGTTCTGATGAACTGGATTGCCCAAATGTTACTAATAATTCATCATCTACTTGTCCACGTTAGTAAAAATTTAATTAATTATCATGAACATAAAATATATTTTTAAATATAAAATTTTTTAAATATTTACAGCAAGTAGTTTTCACTGTCCTGGTACTTCTAACACTTGTATTCCTTCTAAATGGCAATGTGATGGTGAGAAAGATTGTCCTGAAGGAAAAGATGAATTGAATTGTGGGCCTACAACTTGTGAATCGTGGCAATTTGAAGTTTGTTTATTCATATTATATTATTTTATATTCAATTATATGATAATTAAGCGCGTTTTTTTTTAAATTTTGTTGACTTATTTGTCATTATACTCATTTAAAATTAATTTATATATATATATATATATATATATATTATTTTAGTGTGCTAACAAAAAATGTATATTTGCCTCTTGGAAATGTGATGGAGATGATGATTGTAATGATGGCCATAAAAGTGATGAACTTAATTGTACATCTACTTCTAAGCCATATCCAGTTAATCCAACTACACCTTCACTGCCTTTTAACATAAATGTAAGTATTTTAATGATTGAAAATTACAGTTTTTGTTCATTTGCACATAGAAGATAGGTTTTCAGGATAATTAATTTTTTTAACTTTTAAACCTAACATAAGTTTTAATTTAACATATATTTAAAGGATACAGTATTTCCAGAACATTATCATAACTTAAGTTTAAAAAATTTAATTTTTGTGCTATTTTGAATTAACCTGTGGTCAGGTTAATGATCAGATTTTCAAAAAATATATACCCAAACAAAGGGAAATACCTAATGTATCTATATAAAAAAAAATTTGTTTTTTTTTTGGATGATTTCCACCATTTACAAAGACCAAAAGAAAATTTTTCAACTTTTGAGGGTAATGTCTTCAACTAAATAAAATTTGTGATTTTTGGCATATTGCTGAGAAAAATTAATTGGATTGGGTTGACAGACAAAAAAAAGGAAAAATAAATAAATATATCATGGTATAATTAATACCTTCTTAGCTTTGCATTGAAGCTAAAAAATTACTAATACAAGAATTTTAAATGTTTTATTAAAATAATTGTTTAAGGTTTTTTTTTAAATATATTAAACTTCATTTTAATAGAACTCGAGAATAATTTTACTACATAATATCCTGATCTGAACTGTAAATATTTAACACTTCAGATCTACATTTAAGGATTGTTTATTTTGTAAATGCAATAAAAACTAAAATTTTGTAATGCATTTAATAATAAACTTTGATTAACATATCACCTCAGAAAATTATTTATTATATGAATATAGCTCAATTTTATAGAATAAAAGTAATTGGCATGGAATTTATTAACATCAAGAAAAAAGTAACAAAAATTGATCCTAATCATAAATTTGTTGTTTGAATTAAAAAAATATAAAGTTTAAAAGAATATATTTTAATAATTAATAAATTATAGCAATATTTTCTAGTGATTATTAAAACACTCAATTTGATTAAATATAATACAAATAATTGGAGAGAGGGAATCAGATATGTATCTATTTAACTTTATTTGAATGCGTTTAATAATTTTACTAGGGTTCATGCAATGAATGGTTGTTTCGCTGTGGAAATGGAAAATGTATTCCATATTGGTGGAAGTGTGATAAAGTTATAGACTGTGAAGATGGATCAGATGAAGAACAATGTGGATCATTGCCACCAATTGAAACAAAAAAATCTACTACTGAGTCTCCTTCAAAAGGCACCTGTCTACCACATTATTTTCAATGCAATTCTGGTAAAATTTTTCTGTAATATGAATTGATTAAAAAATTTTTTGTTATATAATAATTATAGAAAAACTATTTAAGTAAAATGATTTTTATTAAAATATTAGTATTATATTTAATGGTAATAAGTTAAAAATTATAGGCTTATGCATTGAAGATTCATGGGTATGTGATGAAATAAATGATTGTGATCAAGGTGAAGATGAAGCTGATTGTAAAAACAGTAATTTTGTTGGACTTTGTAAAAATAACAGTAAAGAATTTAAATGTCGTATATCTGGATCATGCATAGCAATTGAAAAAGTTTGTGATGGTACCCCTCAATGTCCTGATGCTAGTGATGAAACGTTTTGTTCAAATAATACTCAAAGTAAACAATTATTTTTTTCTACTAATATATAATTAACTTTATTATTAAGTAAAAATAATTTAATTCTAATAATTAGCTCCCAGCACACCGAGTTGTGGAATGGGTTTATTCCCATGTGATGGTAATAGATGTATTCCAGCTTCTAAACGTTGTGATCAGCATAAAGATTGTTATGATGGCACTGATGAAGATAACTGTGATTCATTAAATAATAATACAAGTATACAAGTGTGTATGATTAAAACTGATTTAAAATAGTATATATCTAATTGTATTAGATATATACTTAACTTATATATAGATATATATAACTTGGCTGATCCCAAGTAGTTGGGATTAAGGCGAGGAAGAAGAAGATATATCTAATTGTATTATTATATACTGTAATTTATTAAGAATACTACTATCAATTTTTTTATTAAATAATGATTTTTTTTCATAAATCATTGTAAATATCAAGTTTATTGCAAGAAAAAGTCTACGTGTAGATTTTAGAAGTAACTTTTGAAAATTAAATGGGAACTTAATGACATTTAATTTTGATTTTTTAAAATTAATATTTCATAAAATCATTTTTTAATTTATTTTTAGGTTTCTTTAATGTTTGTTGAAGAACATGAGTCAACTTACAATTCTCTTACTCTCTATTGGGCACCACCAAAAAATATAAGTATTGAATATTTGCCATCTATTTGTGAGTCCCGATTACCTGAAACTCGTGTTAATAAAACATGGATAATAAAAAATAATTACAAATTCACATCACTCAAACCATATACTTCTTATAATATGACTGTTTATGTTCGTCAAAAGGATACTCCTAGTATAATTTATCCACCAGCTTTTTATATACTTGCATCAACAACTGAAGGAGGAGGTAATTACTTTTTATATTATTGTGTTTTTTATTTAAAAAAATTAAAATGTCACTTTGTAGTTCCTAGTGCACCATTGAATGTTATTGTTCAACAAGTAAATGCAGAAGAAGTATTAGTAACATGGACTAAACCTGAAAACCCTGCAGGCCGTATTTCTTCTTATAATGTATATGTAGAACCACCGCATCCAGCAATGGTTTTATCTGTTGAAGCGGATTTTAATAATGCGACTCAATCTTATCCTGTCAGATCTTCATTATATCGTAAAAATATTGAATATAATTTTTGGGTTAGTAAATTATTTCCTTTATTTTAATCTTGTTTCAAATAATTTCAAATATTGAAAGTTATCTTAAAAATATTTCTGTTGTCATGATCAATAGTTAATGTAAGCAGCAAAACTTACATTACCAATTATTCAGAAAAAACAAAATAATGTTTTCACTTATATCTAATTCTATATTTTTATTCAAAATTTTATGAGTAACAAAAGTAGTTTCTAGAGCAATAATATTTGAACTTGCATACAAATTATTGATCACAACTAGCTAATGTTATTAAATAATAATAATATATGTGTCATGTTAGTTTACAATTAAAATGACTTATATTTATCTTAAATAGCCAAAAAGTTACTTGAAAAAAAAACACTAAATATATATCGTGAAATATTTATGAAATTAAATTTTTTTTAGTTATTAACTTATTCTTTTCATGTATTAATATTACTTTATAATATAACCTTTTCGGGAGTCAAAAAAATTAACCTATAGTTGAAATTCTATGAGTCTAATATTAATTAATCTAAAAAAATGCTGAAAAGTTTAAACAAAAATTGGCATATTAATTTAATTACTTTAAATTTTATTTAAAATTAATGATGGGCTGGAAGAAAAAAATTCAGTTGGATGTTGTATTGTATTTTTTTCCATTTACAAAAAAACAATATCTATAAATGATATCTTGACAAGTTATTTTTTGACAAATTAGCTTATTATAACTAGTTAGGTAAAGTAAGATAAAAACAAATTTTTTAGACATGTTCTTTTGCAATGGAACAACTCATTTTGTTTTAGGCTTAACTTTTTTATTTACAAATGCTATATTGAAATGAGAGCTGTGAACAAATATCTTTATATTAAAATTTTGTTGTTAAAATATAATGGTATAATATAATAATCAAACTTTTGAATTTATTTATTTATTGAATAAAATAAAATTTTTGATTAATTAATGTTGTCAATCACAGTATTTAACAAACAGTTCAACTCAATGAGTTAGGCTATTTAATTTGTGATCATAAACCTTACCAATTGAAAATAATTACAATTTTTTTTTGGTTCAATTATTAAAGTATAATATAATAAAATTCATATAGTTGGAAGGAAAATTTTAATTTTATTTTTATATATTAGGTTACTGCTAAGTCATCAGAATATGAGTCAGAACGCTCAGCTGTTAAAAGATTCCGATTTGATGAAGATTCTTTGGTAGATGTGAATTTAAAATTAAATATATCTAATAAAACAGAAAATTCAATAACAGTTACCTGGGATGATGTAGAACATGCTGTCGGATTTAATGTGATTGCTGCAGCACCTGTTAAGGAAGGTCCTTACCCTAATTCAATCCAATCATTTAATGTATCAAATGAAAGAAGTGTTCAAAAATTAACGAGTATGTATATATAAACGTAAAATAAAAATTTTAAAGTTTTTATGCTTAATAATTAACTTTATTTTAGTTCCCAAATTATCACCTGGAGTAGCCTATACAATAAATGTTACACCATATAACAGCCGATATACTGGAATGAAATACACTATTGTGACTAAAACTGAAGGTAATTGTTAAAATTTAAAATAAAGTTATCAAAAAATAATAATTTTGATTATTTAGATATATGTATAATTATGTTAAATATTTATATTTTACATTTTTACCTTATACACTAGTAATTAATCTATAAAACTTAAATAATTAAAATGTTTAGGTCAACCTTTGCCTTATGTAACAAATATTTCTGGCTCTTTAGTAAGTATCAAAGATAAAAAAGAGTCCTCAATTAAAGTTCAATGGAATCCACCAAAACAAATGGGAAAAACAAAATGGATATATGGGGTGTATTATGGTACAAATACTAATGAGCTTCTTAGTGGTAATATTATGCATATATTATAATAATGTAAACAAAAGTTTCCATGCTTATTTAATTTTATTTAAATTATTAAATTTTTAGGATATAAATACAATACTACTGCAACTTTAGCTATTCTGAGCAATATTGAATCTTGTACATCTCTTATGGTTGATGTTGGTATTATTGGCCCAATAGGAGTAGGGCCATTATCAAAGAAACCACTCGATATAGTTACACCATTTGATCCAACTGTTCCACCTAAAGATATCAAAGTTGAACAAATAAAGAATTCATTGAAAGCAATGGTTATCATTAGTTGGAAAGCATCTTGTCATCCTGTTCAACAATCTTACAGAGTAATAAATTATTATTTTAATTCTATATTTCATACTTTAAATATTGAATAAATTGTATTATTTGATTAAATAATGATTATTATTTTTAGGTGAGTATTCTTGAAGCAAATAAGAATGAAAAATTTGATGTTACTATTCCCAATGTCTCTGATTCTGAAGCAAAAATAAGTTTCGGTATCAAGTATGGTGGAAATTATTATATTTGTGTTTCTTCTTATACTCCTAATGCAGTATGTTCCCCACTTATCAATTTCCGAGGTCCAGAATTACCTATTCCACATCAAATTAAAGTATTTAATTTGCCTAATAATCATTATGAAATTTCATGGCACAATCATAGTTTACCTTCTGAACTGAACTCGCCGTAAGTTTTTATAATTTAATTTAAAAATAATAATAATAATTAAAATGATTTATTTTAAAGGGTGCATTACTTAATACATGTATCTGAAGGAAATCAATTAAATATCACATCAGCTAAGACTTATAAGGCAGATAATACGCCATTCATCATTAATGATCCTCCTTTAGGAGAACAACTATCAGTAGCTATACAGTTAGCTACTGAAGATGGATATGTTTCTCAAATGTCAGAAGTGTTTTCTTTCATACCAAATAATGGTACTTGGACATTTAAAAAAATTTATTTAACATTATAAATTTAATATTTAAAGTTTATTTATATAAACTATTAACAAAATATTTATTTTTATTTAAAATATTTAAAGATGTATTCTTGTTTTCAGTTTAATGCTAATGTTTGAAATTTGTTGCAGATTTTATCTGTGGAGACATTTAAGAGTCTGTGATTGTAATTATATTGAACATTATATTGTTCTTCTTTTACCTCAGACTCATAACTATCTCTCTAAAGATGAACTCTGCAACAGGTTCAAAACTTCAGCATAAAACTGAAGTCAAGAATATATCTTTAAATATTCTAAATTGTACAACATTCCATGAAAGCTTTAACACATTCATATATATTTATTTAGAAAATCGATCTCAAGACTCTATTGTAGTTCGTGTAAATAATGGTTGGTCATCCATAATATTAGTATTGTTAGTTATCGGATTGTCAGGAGGATTAGCATATTTTGTGATCAGGCATAGAAATCTCCAAAACAGTTTTGTGCAATTTGCAAATAGCAGATATGATACCCGATCTGGTTCAGCTACATTTACTGGTGTTGATAGTCTAGGTGAGAAATTGTTATAAAAATGATTCTTAATATAATTTAAATTTAAGTGTTTGAAAATAAAACTATCTGATACTACCATCAACTCAAACTTTGAATCCAGATTTTAATTTTTTAATTTGTCTCTTGCTATTCTGAATTAATTTAATTATGATTTAAATGTGTTATTTTGTGCTTACTTAGGGTTAGGAGTATTTAAAGGTAAAGTGTTTTTTAAATATCTTTTTTTTAACCATAAATGTCAAATTTAATTTTTAATTTTGTTATTTTATTGTTTAGATGATGAGCCAGCAGTTCAAGGTTTCTCAGATGACGAGCCACTAGTCATTACGTAAAATCAAAAAACCAACTTTTTCGTCATCTGTGATATGTGTTAACTATTCATTTCATTTAAATTGACATACTAAGTAATTTATCTGTTAACAAAATTACTCTACTACTTTATATTACTACTTACTTAATACTTAATTTCCAGACTATTTTTTATATAAATTATTAAACATTTCTTCTCAAAGGTGTGTGTTGGTGAACTTAAAAACTATTAGAAATGGATATTATAATCTGCATGTTTACTTATAACATATAAATTTGAAATTAATTATTAAATATTAATCAAATTAAAAATTTTTAAACCATATATTTTTCTTTTGTGTACTATGGATTGTTTTTGTGGATTTCTGTTACCCAATTAATGAAGTGAAGTATTAATTTTTGGTGCATTTATCTCCTCTTTTCTTAAGTAAGTTAGAGGTTATTCAAATATTTACCCACTAATTACAAAATTGTTTGCATATTATTTCTGATGAATAGGTTTTTTTTTGTAAATTGATTTTCTAGTTATAATTTTCCATTAATAATAATAATTAAATATTTTACATTATAAATGCAAACATTTTTCAAAAAGATCTATAACCGTAACAAATTAAATCTATTATTTTTATATTTCAGTGTTTAAATTTATATTAATAAATTACTTATGGATGTTTCAAACTATTATCAAGTTGCCAAAATATTGAATTTTTTTTGCTTTGACAAATATTTTTATTTAAAGAAAATATTGTTTTATGTGTTTATGACTATAAACTCAATTCAGATACATTTTAAAGGTTTTTCCATAGCAAGTAGTAGTTTATGTTATAGTTTTGTTTCATAATTATAAAAAGTAAATAGTAAATAGAAATCTATTTAAAAAAATTCAAAATTTTTAGTTAAGTTTACTTGTACTCTTTGTCTAATTATTATGACAGTACATTAATGTACAAGACCAATCAATTTGTTTGTTACCAAAAACAGTTATATAAAAATGTAAATAAATAATTGTTATTATTTGAGAATGGTGAAACAGATTTGCTTTCAGTTTTAAATCAGCTTGTCATTGAAGAGTTTCATTAGTTGAATTGAAAGTCCTAGATTGGGTATTTAAAAAAATAATGTATTCTACAATATTTATGAAAAAAAATTATTTGCTATCTTATTATATTTACTTAATTAGCAAAATTTAAGTTAAATAGTTCTTAGCACAAAAAAAAATTTCCTAAGTAATAACAAAAACTTATTTGTAAAGAATTAATACTGAAAATTTTGATGTAAAGAAAAATAATTTTTATTATTTAATTTACCGATACTATTCTTTGAATGGTTTGTGCTATAAATTATAGTATTTTACTATACAATCTTAACTTATTGTGTTGTGAATTATACAACTTTTGTATTTGAAAATAAGATTATTTTATAACGGTCTATTTTTTATTTTATTGATCTAAATTTAAATTAATTAATTCCAATACATTTTGGTAAACAATTTATTTTATTTTATCTTTTGTTGTGCTCAATATACATTTTTCATGTTGTGATAGGAATAAAAATAATTCAAATATGATAACAAAATTAAATTTATTCACCGCCGTTTTTGTTAGCCATGAACATTACTAATTGTTATGATTTTTTTACATACATATTTGATATTATTTTTTAGACTTATATTAGTTTGTGTTATGACTGATTATATTATAAAATGTATGAAGTGTGTTTTTACATTTATTTTTAAACTTTTGTAAATTTTGCTTGCAATTATTAATTATTATTATCGTTCTATATAATTTGTATAATCATAAAATCAAGTGTATTGGTTGTTATTTTAGATTTATTACATGTTTGTACACAACAAAAAAATATTTTTTTATTTTCCAATGTACCCGTCTGTTTTATTCTAACTATAACCTATACGATTTTTAATGCATCAATATTATCAGTAAAAAATAATTTAATTTTTATAATTATTTCAACTATACACACATAGTACATATAATTAATTCTTTAAGCTTCAATGCGAAGCTGAGAAGGTATTGGTTCAGGCACGTAGACAAGGGTGGGCCTGGCCCCCCTTAGATTTAATGTGGCTCAGGGCCGGCCCCCCCAAATTTAAAATTCAATTATTTTTACGAATTATCAAAAACGTGCTAGGCCTTATATACATTAAAATTATTATTAATTTGTGATTACTATTGAGTAATAAAATTATTATGGCTGTATTTTCATTTTTATATTCATAGAAAACGTTATTTGAAAAAGATAACGTTCTAGACGTTGGAATAGCAATTACTCCAAACGTGGTTGTAGGTAAATTTTTTTAACTCTGGTCCAACAAATGATAACAAACTACGAAGTTTCTGCATTGATTAGAATCTAGTTGATTACAAAATTCGATAGAGTATACTCTATGAACATTTTTTTGATAAATCTTATCTTTAATTTGTTTCTTTTAGCTTCGATGCGAAGCTGAGAAGGTATTGGTTTTACTAAGATGTGTTTTTTTTTGTGTCTGTTACCACTTTTTCTCAGCTCTCACTGAACCAATTTCTTTCAATGATACGTCAAAAGATCATTCGAGGGTAATGTCTTCGACATTACCCTCGAAAATTGAAAAATTTTCCCTCGTTCCCGTAAATGGGGGAAACCTCCAAAAAAATTACAAATTTAAAAATTGCTAATTTTCGAAATTTTTTTTACTTAAAATTGCCATAACTTTTTTTATATAGATGCATGATATCGTTATTTTTCATTTGATATATTTGTTTTATAAATCTGACCCTTTATCTGCCAACGGGGGGGATTTAAAATGACAACTTTTTCACAAAAAATTAACTTTTTCAACATAACTTTTTTAAATGTTCCGGAAAGTCTGACACTTTTATCTATATCTTAAATTAAAGCTAATGTAATATACTATTTTATTTAAAAAAATGTCAGACTTTATTTTGTCTTCACGGTGAAAATGGCTACCAAATGCTATTTTTGTGTAAAAATTCTCGATTTTGTATTTTACATTTTTAACCTTATAATGCTATAACTTATTGAAAAGTGTATGGATCAACATTATTTTTTTATGAGAAATAATATTTTTTAATAATCCCTTTTTCATTCGACATACTTTATCTTAATTAGGATATTAATAATGAACTAGCAGATCATGTAGCTTTTGGAATAATCCACCAATTTTTTAAAATTAAACACTATCTAAAGATTTGCATCGAAGCGTTTTTTTTTNCAGATCATGTAGCTTTTGGAATAATCCACCAGTTTTTTAAAAATAAACACAAATTTTGAACTTGTAAGATTCATAGAATAGGATACTGTCTAAGGAAGAGTGGAGGGACCCCCCCACAAGCTTTTCATGGGAAACAAATTATGGAAAATGATACAAGGGCCCAAAATTGTTGGCCCCTCCAATAAACATTTTCTGGCTACGTGCCTGNTTAACTTCGATGCGTAGCTGAGAAGGTATTGGTTTTACTATGATGTTTTAGCTTCGATGCGAAGCTGAGAAGGTATTAATTTTACTATGATGTGTTTTTTTTTTTATTTTTTTTTTTTGTGTCTG